AATAAATTAATCAGTTTAGTCAAAAGCAATATCTTAATCTAGATACTCGTTTTAAATGTATTATCTGAATAACTTGTAAGTTTGATCTTAGTATGTTATTCTAAATTAATTTTCAAAAATTCTAGGATCAAGATTAATTATTTTAAAGTCCTTTGGGTAACTTATTACTTATCTTGACTAAATTTGAATTTGATAATTATCAATTAAATTGAAGTTGAAGTTAAATTTTTATGATTTATCGAGTACAGTAAAGTTTTCAATACATCTTAATTATCCATTAGATTCATGCTAGAATTTAGCAATCTAAAATTTCTAGTCATTGTAAAATATCGGCTGATCATCAGAATACTCCGTAAGTATGATATGATTGTCAATCGATGATGCAATTCCCCATAACGCTTTAGGGCCTAGATGCTTAAATGAGTAGCACTGCACAAATTACCCATCTTTGAATTCAAATATTACTGATTAGTACACTTTACTAACGACTAGATATAAGTTTTGAAATTAACCAATCGCTATTATAGACTCTACAAAAGAATCCTTAAAATAAATAGAAGATTCTCGTTCAATACTAACTAGCGAAATAGTAATTTTTTTATTGTGATCTTTTGATAGCAATCCAATAATGCCATAAGATTTTATAAAGGTAGATTGTATTAATTACCCACTCTTAAATGGGAAGTGGAAACTAAATATTATTTTACAATCATTTTGAAGATCTAACAGGTAAATTTGATTGCAAGCTCTGATTAGCATAGTATCTTCAAATTACTGTAGTTAATCAGGTGTATCACCAATAAAAAGAAATACGCTATTAACTATTTGGCAGAGTTGATTAGAGATAGGCAAATCTACAATAACTTTTCTTCCAATATGTTCTTTTTTAAATTTATCTAGTTTATTCTCACCTCTTTTTCTCTTATTGTCTTCTGATAAATTTCTTATTTTATTCTATTACTTAATTTGCTTTTATTCATCTTCAATTTAAAAGTTTTTGCTAATAAGACAGAGAAATTTATCTTTATTTTAGTATTAATCTGAATCACTTTATCTTTTCATTGCTTTCTTAGAAATAATACATTGATTTAGGCAACACTGATAAGTTTCAATCATCTTGACCAACTTTTTTGAAAAACGACTATTTCCTGTAGATCTAATTTCTTGATAAAGATCTTAAGCACTCTAGTTTGAGACTATATCAAGTTATTCATAATAAGTAGTTGTTTTGCTATCTAATTTATTGTAAGTGAATTCAAATCGATCATAAACCACAATAGTCTTTATATTTTTGAGATATTGCCATTATCCCTTTATTTTTAAAACAAAGCTTGTTAGATCATTAATTTAGATACCAGTCTCCTTATTACTTTAAGAATCTGATCTTAAAAATATTTCAAGTGCTGGTTGTTTATAATAATAGTAACTTGAATGTTGGGAAGCTTTTCCAATAAAATATATCAGGAGAAGCTTGTTTTTATCTTATTTGAATAACTCATACTTTAGATTCATTAAGCAATTTCTGAACTGCTCTTTGGTAGGATTTATCGGCAAGCTTACTACTCGGTACATTAGTTTTTCTTTAAAATATTTTTCAATTGGAAGTAACTCATCTTCTTAAAACACTTATCCTTGTAGAGATTTGCCATTACTTTCTTTATCCAAGGGATAAATTTTCTTTAAATCATCATAAAAATCGCACTTTATAAAAACAGGGTAATAAGCAGTATCATTACTTTATATATCCATTTTTATGTTACCTTAATTATATAATTCTCATATTTTTAACTTAATAATATTTCTATCCAACCTTAGATCCATATTTTTGGGGTTTTGGGGTTTTGGGGTTTTGGGG